AAACCTGATTCTGAGCAATCAAGTTATATTTTTATAAAAGTATGCTCTAAACGAGAATAATTATTTTAATAATTTGTTTTAATTTTATTGATGATGATTCGAATTATATTTTAGCAATTCAATATATAATACATACATAGACATATATGTATATAACACACACACATACATACATCAATTTTGTCTGGGGTATGCTAAAATGTTCAGAAACCTCTGAAAAGTAAAAAAAAAAATTTTAAATTTTGGACAATTACAATAATTTACCCTACAGGAAGTTAAAAAATATGTATGTTTTGTAATTAGAGAGCAACTTACTTTTTAGGAATCAAAATCACATCTGCATTTTATATATTGCATAGGTGAATAATTATGGCAATATATAGGTAGGGTAAAAAAATATCAATGCAATGGATTATCATTTAGACTTTTAGAATAGAACCTATAAATTGGCCATTTTCGACCTACTTTGTCATACTGCACAAAAAATCCTAACAAATCTTTATACAAGACAAAGTTAGTACATACTACAATGAACTGCACCTTGAATGCAATTCAAAATGTGATTGTTTCACCATATCAAATTGTGTTTTAAAAAAAATTACAAGATTCCCACAATCTTGTGATCGTACTTCACTATTTTACAAAGTCGTTTACATGTATTCACCTGAAATCTCTATTGTTCACATGTGTGCAACGAGTAATTTAATAAAAATAAAATTTATGGGCGTGCAATAAATCTATAAGCCCATTAGCTCTTGCACACTCATTAGGCGAATTTAATTGATACGATGATCATGGTATTATTTTTTAATTGAAAGACAACAAATGGCAGACGAGTGCAATAAAACTTATTCGTGCGATGTGGGAATTTCAAAAGAAATCTTCTTCAGTGGAAAAGTAATAAATTAAAAATGTCACAGGCTTCAATAATTTTTATACTTGGCTATTTGATAATTATAAAGCACGGGAAAAGATAATTAAATAAAAATAGAGATTTTAAAGAATTATCGGATAATTAGAAATTTTAGATCAAACGTTATACGTCTTAATTTTTTGAAAGCTTTGATTTTTTGATAATTTGAAAGTAAGAGTATAAAAACATTAAGAATATTGGTTTGAAAAAAAACACCTTTAATTAATTAATTAATAAATAAATATTATTTAAATTATAAATAAAGATTAATTATAATTATTAACGTAATTTAATCAATTTTTAACCAGAAGACCAATAAAACTTTTTATTTAAAAAGTCTCTGATCGTCCAAGCCGTTTCTTCAGAATTATCAGAAATGTGCAAAAAAAACTTTAGCATTTTCGTAAAAAATCCTGAACTGAATTTAAAAAGAAGTCAGTCGTATGATGATAACGTTTATGGTCTTAAGGAACATCCTAAAATAATATAGACGTACGAAAAGTAGTTTAATTATACCTGTAACTCAATAAAGTTAACAATAATGAACAAATTTTAAAATTTTGTCACGAAAAGTTGTTAGATTAGAGCTCTATTAGATAAATTAAAAATGGATCAACAGTTGGGTTATCATTTAAAAATACGACTTAAGAAGAAGTTTCAGCCCAAAAGCTCATATATAGGATATAAGATTCTGATTGCTGGTAAAATATGATAAAAAAGTATATTGTTCACACATGATGAGAAGCTGATGCAGTGTGTCGTAAGGTAGTACCTGGTTAATCATTGTTTACAGAGCTAACTATTTTTGGGCAGATATTTGTCATATTTAAAGATTTTTCTTCGATATAGTCGTAAATTTAGGAACACAACAATTTGTATTTGCTTTCTTATTTTAATTTAATAATTAAAGATTTGGAATAAAAAGTTGCGTTCATTGGGGTCCATTAATTACGTGATCGATTGAGATTTTTGGACCCACCCCTTGGTGATACGTCGTGATATTCAAAATTAGCCCCCGCCTTTACCCACCAAACATCACGTGAATTAATTTCAAACGATTTTATAGAACTTACCAAAAAATCGTATTTTCTTTATTTTATTTTGTTAAATTATAGTAAAAAAATAAATACACGAAATATCTACTAGACCCCTGCCTCCCACACATGATTGTCATCGTTATCGACAACTCGGCCCTGAACGAAACAAACACGTGGTACCTAAATGTGTCAAAATTTCATAAAAAATGACGAGATCCCATCGCTTTTTGAATTTGCCGTATAATTTGAACACATTTTAAAAACTGCTTCAAGAAAAAATTTCTATCTTAAACACCGAACAGTAAATACATATAGTTTCGACAACTTGTTAAGTTATCATGTTTATTCGTATGTTTTACTATCTGTGATGTTAAAAAATATATATTTTATTAATGTGCACATACTCATACCATGGATTAATAATGTTTTCATATACTATACCATTTTTTATTTTTTTATCAAACTCTCCCTCCCCCTAAAATTCTCATGTGAGTAATGGATGAAAGTCAAGTGAATTTGAACCCGAGTAGCCCGATCTCATTGGTCTAACTTCCCATTTCGCTGATATTTTTACAGTTTTTCGTTCGTTTTCGTCGATATTAAAATTAACCATATGTTAAATATTTTTCGGAAGTCAAAAACCAAGCCAGAGCCATGATTCCCAAGCGTCCGTCCAAATGAGCGAATGGGCCATGATTAATTTGACGTCTTCCACCTGTATCAAATTAGTTCAGCTGTTCCGCAACATCGTATTGCCGACTCGAAACGAATGTCACTTAATAATTAATGTCAGTGTGAATGCAGACAATAATAATTACACGCATCTGAGATATTTAAATATATATAACAATTAAGATAATTAAACAATCGGACATGCAAATGTAAACAATTAACTCGGAGTGCCTGATAATAGAAAACTTAATTAAATTTTCTATTGTGTGCTCGATACACAGACATGAAACACTATGGATTCGCCTTTATAAATACCCGCCGAGGGGAAAATAAATAAATGTATACTAAAAGCTTGGAATTAATGCGAGAGGACTTGCATCTGCAGATTCTATCTTATTTTACAGTACGGTTTCGAAAATTAAAGATTTTTCTCTTTTATACCTTATTGGCGAATATTATAAGATTTAAAGAATTTTTTAATTCAATACTATTTCAGCTATTTCAGCACTATTATTCATACACTATTTTGTAAACAAAAATAAGAAAATTTGTAAGAAATTTAAATCTAGATTTAAATATATACTTCATAGTAAATAATATATAGGGTAGAGCGGAGCTTAAACGTCCGCGGGTAAATATGTCCATTAACCACGTGATCGATTTTTTAAGGACTTCTAGATTCCCCCTCCTCCTGGTGGTAGAGGTTTTTTACCCCCCTCCCCCACCAAACATCACGTATTTTAGTTACGAGAAAACATTGTAAAATTTTTGATTTTTTGAAGATGCTTGGATCTTTCAAAAAAAAAACTCAGGTAAAAAATACATACACGTAATATCTTACTATACCCCTCCCTCCCCCACGTGATATTTCGTGAGTTTTTGTCAAACCCCCTTATCCTAAAAATCTGGATCTCAAAAACAAATAAAGTCAAAAATTAACAAAAATATTTGAAAGTAGAGGGTAAAAGATGTATAACCAGCCATCACCTTTATTCTTACGACTTGGCTATCAGGAGATAAACGGCAATATTTGAAAATCCTGAAAAAAAGTACTTTCTTCTCGTGTTAGCTTTTTGTTTGTGAGCACTGTTGTTTAGTTCACGAGGGCTTAATATATTTTTTAAGTATTCGTTATTTAATTATTTTATAAGGTGTATTGTTCATTTTAAGTTAGATTTAACATTTTTTTCTTTATAAAACCTCTATGAAAGCTTACACGTGGTTGGAGTAAAAAGGATCAACAGAATCTTTACCCTGGCAAAGATGTAACCAATAAAAAGGTAAATATAAAAGTAAATTAAGTTAAAAGGGCAATTGCATAAAATATAAATTAAATAAATAGTTATTCCAACTCTGCTCATGAATATTTCTGACATAATACTAGATCAAGGTTGTATACAGTGTTATCCATGTTAAAAGTATACCCATGAAATTCATGTTTTGCAACGGTTGAATATTTTAGCTATTATGCCATAAAATCCCTTTAAAATTAAAACTTTGGATCTGTTTGCTCCCTGGCCCTCCTATTTAACCCGCCTATGAGGTAAAAAGGACCATGTGACAAATTTTTGAAAAAACAGAAAAAACAGTAAAAAATATATCTATATAATGTTGAATTAGCTGAGTATTTTACTGAACATAGTCAGATAGCTGTTTATTAGATATGTATTATTGTGGTATAATTTCACAATATAATAGCTCAAATATGTCAAATTGGACCTTGGTGCACCAGCTTACCCAATTTAAAATATTGCAATTAATTAGAATTGAGGCTTATTGTGTATAACTAATTGTGATTAATTCGTAAAAGTTATTACAAAAACCTTTATTCCAGCTATTTAATTAACTTATCACTCTAAAAATATATCACTCAACTTCTAAATTAATTAAAATAGGTAATTTGTGATTCCCATGCAAAAAGGCGACTGATATACGATCTCGCCTGCGCCTAATAAGTTTCATTTGACATATTTAGTTCAACTGCTCAGCAAACATTTTCAAATAGGTTTTGCAAGAGTGTCATTACGTCCGTATGTTCCCAGTCATTAACATGATTGTGATAACCAATAAACTGATTGATTTATACAATATTATCACAAAAGTAAAAGTGTCGCCAGAGTTGAAATCGATAAGTTTATGTTATGCAAATAGTAACCACATTAGACAACTTTAAAGGAGCGTGTTTGCTGTAAGAAAAATTTATATTCAAATCTTACTTACTCAATATTTAATTTGATTTTATATTCTATTTAGATAGATAATCAAATAAATATAATTAAAAAAATCAAATCTTGTATATTTAAATTTAAAATGAGTATGCTAAATTACAATAAAATATGCTAAATCTCCGAAGAAATATGTATTAAATATATACTAACTTGAAGGTTTCCAAAAGCACTAGGTGAAATTTTTGGGCTGTCAATTAGTCAGTTCGCTAATCATCAGCCTTGCCTTGTCATTTCCCTGAAAGTAAATATTTAAATAAGATATTTTGATAATACAAAAATGATAGTACAAAATTATATGAAAAAATGCTACATGAATACGCTGTATACCAATTCAATATGTACATAAATGCATTTTATTCTAATGCATTCACTCTTTTATGGAAAAATCGTGCTAAACGAAAATCACTATGTAAAAGTCCTTTTGTCAGCTTTTAATATGATAAAAACAATATTAATAATTAAATAAGAAATATTAATAGATTTAAAATCAAAAACATTTAAGTTAAAAATAAATATTCTGTTTTTGCTCACTTTGGAAAAATTTACGCTATCAATTATATATAAACACTAATTAAAAACAAATTTTAATAACAATGGTGCTCTTTGTTTTGGTATTTCAAATAAATTAGCTTATACACACAAAAAAATTAGTTTTGATCATAAAGCAGGGAGTTTCCCGACATAGACTACTAAGAATTCGTAACTCAACTTCAAACTCAACTTATAAACTTCGTTAGAAAAAATAATTTGTTATTTATTAATTTTAGTAAATAATTTAATGTTGTAATCTCTTATTATAAACATAGTTAAAACAATTTGTTACTAGTTGTTATTTCAATTGATCATAATTTTTCGACATTTTTTTAACACTTAAAATATTATTCTTAGTCGACTCGGATGTCAGCAAAAGTCAGCTAATAAAATTTACTTAAAATTTAATTTATGATATTAATATATAGCTTTAATTAAGAATCAGTAAAATATTTAATGTTGTAATGAATTATTGTAAATAGGCTTAAAAGATTATCACAATAATATCAGAAAAATGATAAAAATTGCGAGCAAAATGCAAAATTAATAAATTTAGTAAGAAAGAATTCAATTTTCATTATTTAAGATTCAGTAAAATGTTTATTATTATAAACAGAGTTAAACCATTTGTTACTAGTTGTTATTTTAATTGATCATAATTTTATATCCCATGGGTAAATAGAAGGTTTTTTAAAATATATATTATTTTTAATCGACTCCAATGCTTCAAGATGTCAACTAATTCTTACATAAAATTTATTTAATTAATGGCATTAATAAGAAGTTTCTTTAAGAATTAGTAAAGGATTTAATGTTGTAATAAAATATTGTAAATAGATTAAAAGATTAACACGTTAATCGCCGTGGTAATATCGCCATGGAAACTTTATTAGATAATTTAGTTAAAAAAAATTCAAGAAAACTTAATGTATAAAATAAAAAAAATCACAAAATTCCTGAAAACACACGATTTTTTATGTCACACCTATATGACTGACATGGACCTTTTCCTTCTATCATATTGTGTATGTCAGGCATAAATTTCTGATATGGCTCATGTACAACTTCTTAGCTTCAGACTCATATGGCTGACATGGCGGTTAACGTGTTAAAAAACAAATAACTACATTTTTATCTTGAACCAAAAAATATTTCGGTTTTAAGAGAAAATATAATAATCACATATACATACATATGATTTTTTTAATTAGATTAAATTAGGTATAAAGTCCCTAAATTAAGTAAATGTACCACGTGTATTGCCTCGTGCAATGTTTTTGTGTGGAATTAATTTCAAGAGTGTTTTCAACGTACCCCTCCGGAGCGTAATAAAGTTATTACCGCGTGTTCAGTCAGTTCAGCCCTATTTTTATTATATTAATGAGAAAAAAGTACGGTTATTCGTACGGAACCCCCGACATTTGCAGGGTGAGTCATATTTTAGACGTAAACCGACATCGATACATCCCCGAATGAAGATTGTAATGTGCGTAAGAAGGGAAACCTATGCATATAAGTAATTACAATTTAATCATTGGATTTGTTTCTAATTAGTTTGATGGCATATAAAAAATTCACTTATTTAATGTAATATCCAAAGTAAATACATATAATTTAGGCGTTGTTTAACATAATCTACTGTGTGAACGAATATTATAGTATTTATTACTCAGCAATTACTTCATTTCTCTGATGAACATTCATTTCAAAATGCGAATTACAATGACAAACCGATCATGTCATATTTGAAATATGACTTTAATTACATTATTGTTTTTAAATATTATACAAATTTTTAATGCTGTTATAAATATATAATTTATAATTTATCATTATATGAATGTATATAATGGTTGACACTATATGTGCATCACGAGTGTTACCATATTACTAATAAACATTATTCAAAATTGTTGTATGATGTATTTATTTTTGCTTAAATGCCGTCTTGTACAGTAGCAAATAAGTTTTACTTCAATCGCGTATGAATCGAATTAAACCACTTCTCACAGGCCTATAATATTTTAAGATGTTCAGTTTGACAATCAACTCTACTATCACCATACGAACTACGAAATTTCATCGAAATTTCTGAAGAATAAACCAAGGGTTCTCATTGTTAGTAGAGATCGTTCAAATTAAATTTCAACTGTTTTGAATATGGCTTTAAATTTTATTGATATTACTATTTGAATTTAGATTAATATTACAAACATACAAAATTTAAGAAACATAATAGAGAAACCTAGATCTTTAAAAAACTGTAATTCCACTTACAAGGAGAAACCTTCTGTTGCTCGTCCCGGATTTTGATGAAATTTGGAATAATTATAAATTTGGTGCTCAGAATGACTTCCATAAAATATTAGAATCCAATAAAAATATGTTTAATTATAAAAATTAGTTAAAATTTAAAACAAATGGGTTGGGCGTTTTGTGCATGAATACTGTTTTTTATCGACATGTTAAAATGATTCTGTGGTTTCTCCTAATTTTATACAAATTCTGCAGGTTCTAATCCCTTCAGAGTATAAAGAGTTTTTTATAATCAATTTTATTCTATTTTTATGTATATATGATTAAATATTGTAATAAATTTATAATTATCAATTTATTACATATATATCTGCAATAAAAATTTACATATATGAAAGGAATCTGCTAGAGCATATAATTTATTATATTTGTGGCATTTATATTTGTATTGGATGTTGGACATTGTTGAAATAATTAAAATTAAAATATTAGAATGAAAATAAAATTTATTATATATAATAATGTAGAAAATAGGGGCAGACCTATCCTCGTTGAAATTTGTTATTGTAACCCAAAGAAACAAACTTGAAAATGTTTAAAACTTTTCAATGCAATGAAAAAAAATTCTATAAATTATTGATAAATAGTATAGCAATATAAATAAATCATAAGCGCTAAAAAAATATTTCGATTTGATCTTGTGGTCCAAATTAGTTTTCAATTTTTTGGTATACAATGAATAGCTCTCAGAAGTAACTAGGTGTTTTATAATAATTTTACATTTTACTATTGCTATTATAAAAAGCAATCCGATATTTAAAAAATATCTTTCTAATTATAATATATTTAATTTAATTGTGATCATATATTTTTTATTAATCTCAACAATACTTCGAAAAGATATTTTTAATTGAAATCATATGTAGATCTATTCAACGGTTCTATATCAACTTCAACGTATCCATTTTTATATCAAACGGGAATTGAACCTGGAATATTGTGCTGGCAAGGTCTAAGCTCTTACCACTGAACCACGACAAGTATAAAATGTACAAAATTAGCGTCAATTATCAGTCATAATTATTTTGAACCAAAAAATACGATTCAACTGAATGAATCATTACTCTAAAATGTTCTAATATCTGATTGACGGCCTTTAATCTTGATATACAAAGTGATCACATTTTCGAATCAATTAGACACTGACGTTTTATAACAATTACCGCCAGCTATTATCTTCTACTTTATCATTAATCAATTGTCTATTTATTATTAAATATAAGTGTTTAAGTAATTCATTTGCATATTCCATTCATTTCTAAAGCTTTGAAAGAGTCGTATCGACCTTTAATCATAGAATAAAAGTCGGATACCGCACTTTATTGTATGTATTTCTTATCAGCTCGTTATAAAGTGAATACAGAATGAGCACTTAATTCAATAAATATTTTATCTTATGGAAAAATGTTATTAGAAGCCATTGAATGAACTAGTTTGGAAGTTGTCTAATACAGGGATTGATAACCATTAAATTATACGTAATTAAATTTTTAGAGTTTTTATTCTTATTAGATTTGTGCAACTTACCTGCGTAATGTACAACTTTGTTAAGTGGTAAGGTACAATTTTGTAATGTCATGATCGGTTTGTCATTGTAATTAGCATTTAGAAATAAACCTTCATTAGAGAAATGAAGTAATTGCTGATTAATAAATTCTATAATATTCGTTCACACAGTGGATTATTTTAAATAACGCCTAAACAAATATTGTTTTCGCAACTTCACTCATCATGAAATTGTGTTCGAAGAACTTCATGTAATTAAAATTAACATACATTCATTAACTGATTGTATTTTTTTACTTTTTCGCTGGCGATATAATCTCATTCTTTGAACAGCTGTAATATCTGTTTTGCCTAAAAAATATTTTTATTTTAATAAGTTCAAAGATTTATAGAAACTACGAATAATATAGAAATAATTTCTAATCAATAAACTTACGTTTAGTTCACGGCACAAATATTTAATTTGTTTTATTATTTTCAAGAAACAGGATAAAATATGCATCTGATTCAGGCATTTTTCATTAAATCAAGATTTGTACTACTATTTGATGTAACTTTAAAATGTTTATTTATCTATGCCGATTTCCTTGTTGATATCGGTACTCATACAACGTTGATTCCGTTACGCATACAACGTTGACGCCGTTACGCATACAACGACAGATCTCTATTCACATTCACGACGAGAGCGAATGACGTACTGTTCTGGCGTAATGCATTTCCGTTGTATTTGTACGGATTTACACCCTAGTCGCGCCTAAAGAAATTTTACTTCAAAAATATCACTTATATTCAAAAACTAACAACGAAGGAAAATACATTTGTTATGGATTTTTAAACATTTCATTTATCTCCCGATAGC